GTGAATTTGACTTAGGCTTCATTTGCGACGACTTTCTTACTGTTTGTTAAAACAGCTTTGTAATATAAATTTTTTATTTTTGTACTAAAAAGCCGTTTTACGAAGCGATAAATAAGCCATCCCACTTCATTTGGATAGCTTTTTTACTTCTTTCCATATCTATTTTTTAATATAAAAAAATTTTAAACTAAAAATTTTTATACTAAAATTTATTTTAAAAAGTATTAAAAAATAATCTCAAACAAAATCTTAAAGAATCTAAATGTCTCAGATAAATAAATATTATCTTGTTAACAGTCTCTTCATAATATTAAAGAAATTATCTTTATAGTAATAAATGCTGTTAGATAAGCTTCGTATGAATTATCTGCACGTCATTTTTATCTCATATCATACCAATTGAATATTTAAAGCAGCAGCGTAGTACGTGAGATGTTATGCTCTTTTATTAGCATAAAAAATATTTCTTTTTCTATTTTGTATATTTAATAAAAATTAGCGGCCAATTATTCTTTTGTGATGGAGAGTTTTATTATTCTAATATATTTTCTTGAGTGGTAAATGCTTAAAATTAAATATCTTTAGATAAGCATTGAAAATATAATTTTATTTTCTCAGAAATGTAAATGTGCTCTAAATTTAGCATTTATATTATACAATTTATTATTTTATATTTTTATCATAAAAAAGAGGATATATATGCACTCATATTCGTATGAGTTAAATTGATCAAATAATTAAAATGAATTTAGCAAATCACATATGAATCAATTTAGGAAGTCCATATTTTTATATTTTTTGAAATTTTATCTTAAAGCTTATCAAGTAGGGGTATAAACAAGTTGTGTCAAGTAACTCAAGCTTAGTTTGTATACACAGAGACAAACTCGAACTCGAGCTCGAGTTTATACGGTGCACTTGAGCTCAGTTCATTATAGGATTAATGGGCTTTAGCTTGACTCGGTGAGATCAAAATAAACAGCATTATATCCAACATCCTCAAAAGGTATTATGATCTTGGAAATGCTAAAGATTAAAAATTAGTTTGTAAGTCTTGGACTTGATTCATGTATGCAATAAAGTGTTCAAAGGAGTTTGTCACTTTGTGATTCATTTCCACTATGAAATATTGAACACCTTTGATTTGGAAGCATATTATCACACATGCATGCAATGCTCACTTAGGGCATGTAAGAAGGTCTATTTTGTTATCCTCTTAGCTTCCAGCCTTTATAGATGTTGGTTGAGTTGCTCAAGCTTTCCAACATCCACATCGATGCTAGTAAAACAACAAAATAACTATGACTTCTTCTTTCAAGACATGTCACTTCGGGCCTATGACATGCTTTCCTGGGGACAGTTGAGCAAGTTATTAAAAATTTTCATGATAAGTCAACTGAAAAATTAAACCATTACTATCACTTGAAGAAGAAGACGAAGAAAAAAACATATTTTATGCCCAATAAATATAATTCTCATTTGAAGAATTAAAACCAAGATAATGGTTTACTAAATTAAGGGCTAGCCTCTCTAACTCTTCAATAATCCACTAGGTGTTTCCAAAGCATGATGATCTTTCTTCTATACCACATGATCCTTCTCACTAATTTCGACGGGTTCGTAAGCCCTTGCTTGAATATTCTTTTACACGTGAAAGAAAAATATTTTATGAATGTAAAAAATATATATAATCGTGCTCTTTAAAATCTCCATATCGTTTCACATTACCTTTGAACATATTTGGCATTATATTTTCCAATTAATTTCCTAAACTCTTCATAAACCATAACAATATTTTGTAAAAGTAAACTTAATGTTCATAAATGCATGTGATGGCAAGTGTGCAAGGTGAAGAAATTTTTGTGGATTATATACACAATTTCAAATGGAGATTTGTTGGAGATTATAACATTGCATGGAAATTTAGATGTGATAATATGCAATGTCAAAGTTCCCAAATGTTAGCAACCTCTATCACTTTGTATGTAATATTTACGAGGTTTTTAAGAAATATATTGCTTGGTATCATCAATCATTTACCCCATTTTATGGTGAATTTCCAATTAACTTATCCATCTTCTTTCCATTATCCTTCATTAGGGGTGTCAATTTCAGGTCACGGGTCGGTTTCGAGTCGAATTCGGAACTGACCCGGGTTCAAACGGGTCGACCCTAACCCGATCCGGGTAGATAAACGGGTCGGAAATTCTAACCCGGACCCGACCCGACGGGTTGCTGGGTTGACCCGACCCGATCCGCCCGGCAGAGAAGGAGCTCGGGTTTCGTGAGCGCGGGTCAACCCGAACCCTACCCGTTTTGAAATCGAGTCGGGTCCTACCCGGATTTTCCGGGTCGGGTTTTCATGCCGTGTCCAATATTGACATCCCTATCCTCCATATTATACAATAATGCTGATACTTGATTAACCTTTTAAAAATAATTGGTTCGCATATAACTTTGCTATTATTAGTTCACGTGTTCTAACATATTTAATCATGAATCAAATAATATTTAAACATTAATTAAACAACTTCAAATAATATTTGACTAAATATTTAAACATGTTTGAATAATATTCGATCATAGTTCTTATAAGGTCTAAACATATTTTGCACATGTTCTAACAATATTTGAAACATACTCTATATAGTTATGTATGAGAGCTCGATAAGAATGTAAGAAAATAGGTGACTATCGAATTTCACCGATTCGATTCCTTCTTAGCGAAGAAATCTCAAATTTAAGTACAATGATGATAACAATAATGCAGAAAGCCTAAGCGGAAAAGAATGGAATTTTTCGTATATAGTGTGATATAATGACAAAGAAGGGATAAAATTTTCAACTTTTGTAATTATGGGGCATATAAAATCAAATTTATCATAAGATAACAACGATTATAATTTTTAGAGATATGATGACCCATTTAATCTAATTAGTAAAAAAAATAGCTATCAGTGCTACTCAAACTAATTGAACATATGGTAATTAAAATAATGCAATATGTAATTGATTCATAATCTTGAAAACTATTGACAAATATATAATTATGATTTTATTAAAAAAACATTTAAATTTAAATTTATATATTTTTGAAATAATAAGCATAAAAATATAAACATTTATTTAGAAATTTAACTTTAGATGCTCTTTAATGCTCAAAAATTGAGAAATATGATATATACTTTGGGAAATATGCCCAAAATTTCATTCGAACTTGGGGGTGTCAAAACGGGTCAACAGGTCGGGTTTGGGTCCATCCCGAGTTGACCCGAGCATAAACAGGTTGACACGAACCCGATCCATTTAGTTAAACAGGTCAGTATTTCCAACTCGAACTCGACCCGCGAGGGTTATCGGGTTGACTACTCGACCCGATCCGCGAACCCGAATTGGGTGAGGTCAAAGGTGCGCCAAGTTCACTGAATCGTGCAAGCCGACAGGAGCATAGGGCCTGTGCGACGTCCAAGTTGCGCGCGGAGGCGGGGCTCAACTTGGAAGACCACATATGCACTTGAGCTGGGGCCTGGCGGTCGGGGCCGCTGGTGGCTGGTAGATGGCACGTTGGCTAGGTTGTGTCTTCCCGGTCCTGTGGACTAGGTTGACAGTCGATCGGGTTAACCGGGTCAACTCTGGGTTGTCGGGTCAACCTAAACCTAACCCGTTTTTCATACGGGTCAGAAAATCAAACATGGACCGACCCGTTTTACAAATGGGTGGACCGACCTGTTTTACAAACGGGTTGACCGACCTGTTTTACAAATGGGTTGACCCGAAGTTGAATTTTTTTTTGGGTAGGTTTTAGCTCATGTCAACTTTTGACATCCCTATTCGGACCAAAATACCTCAAGAATTCAAAGAGATGCTCTATTTTACACAAGCAACCTACATTGCACGAGAAATTAATCGAACCCTCATATTTTTTGGCTTTTAGTACCTTCTCTTCCTCAACAATTCTTATTTACAAGTGATGGTTCTCAGGCAAAATTTCAATACAATGTTTTCATCTTTATCTTTACTTATCGAACGATTGTTGTTGAATATTAGTGATGTTACATGTTTCTATCCTGAGCTCTAAATCTAGAAGGATATAATTATATATGAGATTAATACCTTCAAACATTCCTCATTCATAATTCAATATTTTTATTGCATATGTCTCAACTTTGATCGGATTATTCAAATATTATTAGAATGTTATTTGAATAAATATTGATTGGAGGACTTAAAAAAGTGGTCCAATGAGTGATAACAATGATTAATGTTCATTTAGTCTTTGAATAACATTCAATTAAGAATCAAAATTTTTATTACAAGAGATCTTAATCTTGATTGAATTTCATTCGAGCCTTATTTGAATGTTTTTATAGTCAATTTTAGTGTGGGGTTTAAAAATTCTATAATTTAGGCTTCGTTTGTGACGATTTTCTTTTTTGCATTCTAAAACAACTTTTTAGTACAAAAATTTCTTAAATTTGAAATTTTTGTACCAAAACGTCGTTTTAAAAAGAAGTTCAAAAGCTGTCCCAATGTTTGAGACATCTTTTGTATTGCTTTTTAAAGTAGCATTTTAATAAAAAAAATTTTGAGTTAAGAATTTTGTACTAAAAATTTGCTTTTGAATACAGTAAAAAAAGCTATCATAAAAGAAAGAAATCTTAGGCTTTATTTGAGACACCTTTCATAATGTTTTTTAAAATAGTTTTTTAGTATAAAATTTTCAGTTCAAAAAATTTCAAAATTTTTTTATTAAAAAATTATTTTAAAAAGAAATAAAAAAGATGTCCAAAATAAAGTATTAGAGGAGGATATTTTGATGCCAAAAAAAAAAATTATCTATTTTTTTTTTAAGAAATGAAATTGTATGTCTTTTTAATTTTTAGTGTTACGAGACACATAAAGTTGAAATTTTCTAGTGATAAAATTTTGTATAAATTAGTGAGGTCTAATTCTATTGGTTGACGAGTAAAATAAAATCCCTTGCCAAAATGATATTAATAAGAAAAAATAAAAATTCCTTTCCCTCTCCTGTCGAAAGGACAATCAGTACTCGGAGCAATGAAAATATACAAAAGATATCTGTTTTCTGACTGACTTGGTACTCTTTCGATTTTTCCCCCATCGGACTTGCGATATGGATAGCATCAAGAGCAATCCCTTCCGTTCCAATCCAATCAAACTGCATACGAACTGCCGTTCTGCATTCCAATTCCGTAGCCGAGGTAATGCATCCTTCCCGCCTTTTCTTTCTTTCTCATCATCAATCCTTTTCGATCTCTTTCTATTTATTTGATGAAAAGTTCACTGATTTTGAATTGAAGCCATGATCAGAGATATTGGCTTTTGTTATTTTGGTTTCTAATGTTCTTTGATTTCTCTATTCTGCATATGGTTGCAGCTTTTCACTTTGTTATTTGTAGGTTATTTATCTTCTTTTTACTTGCTTAATTTCATCTATTTGGCGGGTTTTGGTTCTCTTTTATGTTTCTGATCGGATATCTGGAAAGAATGAAATTTTTTATTTTTGGGGGCTTTGGAGCTTTGGATTGTTCTGTATCGTTTCAATGCTGTGCTTAGGAGTTCATCGCAGTGGTTCTGCATGGCGATATGATGGTTTTTTGGAGCTGCCGATGTTTATTAGATTGAGCGCTGCTGTGGTGGTTTGGTAGCTTTGTAGTTGAACAGATGGCTTAGAAAATTTAACGAAAAACAGAACAGAGAAAATTCAAGGATGCCCACAACCCTATAAAGGATGATAAGAGGAAGAAGATGAACAGTGAAATGGTAGTTTCAGTTTTTTCATATCCCTTCTCGCTATTTCTCACACTACATATACTGTTCTCTTTCCACTACTCGTGCATACAGAAATGATAAGAAGTCCTCTGATGTGCATTCCCTACTAGTGACTTCTTGATTCGATTGATTAGGATGAGTCACATTCCTTGCTGGCGATACTTTTGATGGGTGATAGATTGCTATGGCCGAGTTATTTAGCTAGAACTTGCTACATGCCTATGAAATACTTTTATGGGCATGTACGAGTATACAATGATGTTTTTTATTTTCATTAACTTATTGACAACATCTACATTTGATTCCTACATGGATGAGGGTTGGGTTGGGATAACCACTCATATGGGCCCGGAATGCGGTCGTGTTGATTTCAGAATGATAAGAAGTATTGTTGAACTCAACCCACAAAAAGGAATTGCATCCACAAAAAAGGGTGTCCATTATGAAGGAACGTAAGTATTTTTCAAGCCTTTTATTGTTCAATCCATTTCTAGATGGTAAGTGGTGACATAACAAAGGTTTAGGTCAAGGCCTTGAATAATTCTCTTCGAAAGATGCTCATGAATTACCTTATTTTAGTCTAAGACAGCATTTTTGGCACCTCTTGATGTTTGCACGCATTTGAGATGAAGGCAGTCACAACCTCTATTGTTATAAATTGGGTATTCAAAATAGAGAAGTATGCATTTTTTCGATTGCTCCTTTTTGGAAATGAGAGATTGAGGGTATTGGTACAACCATACGTTCATAAATTGGGTTCTTGATTTAAGATGTATTTAGTGATTTTTTTTTTTGCAGAATTCTGGGAGGTTGATTGGAGTCTTAAATATTTGGTTAAGGTCATATATTATTTGTTGAATGAGCTTGAGTGTCATCTTTGCTTGCATGCCAGATGGTGACAATTTGGTGCCATTTTTGTGTTAGAAGAATGAGATTATTGATCCTTTGGATCGGAGTTACTTTAGCTGATTAAATTAAATTCCTTCAATGACTAATATGGTGTTACCCTTCAACTCTACAATCCTTTCCTGCCATTGCACTTATGGACGAAGAATTATAGTTGGTGATGACATCCCTTATAGTTGTAGCCATTGCACTTACCCGATGACGACTCCTCAAATAGGAAGAACATATAGATCAATTATGAATTGCTGTCCTTGAAGAGTAAGAACCATTTCTACACACTTGTATTGACATTCCAATGCTCCACATTGCTAATGAGAACCTAAATTTTTGGTGTACGTGTAATTATCACTCTTATTAATTCTATCAATCATTGTGAAATAAAGTTGTATATGGAGCCACCATGGATCAATATCCTTACACAAGTTTTGTTTATTTTTTCCTCCATTTGCAATGTTTTAGGTGATTCTTGTCCTACTAAATCATGTAGATGTATTAGATCCTGCCAATGTTAATAAAGATAGAGGTAGACCTAAAAATTCTGGTTAAGAAGTATTAGAAATGACTTTTTTTTTATTAGATTTAAATGATAATTTTGCTCTTATTGGGGCACAATAGAGAAAAATGATTCATTTAACAGACCCCACGTAGTGGGTTAAAGACTTGATATTGTTGTTGTTGTTGTCCTCCTAAACATGGAAATAGATGGCTGGAGGTTTTGTTCCCATTGACTTGAATCAATCATTCATATTGGCAATCAATTATGGACATTCTTACGCTTCCTTCAAATTATCTTCTCATATTTAATCATTGATGCAGATATTTTGACTTTGTAGTCATGGTTTTGATGAAAAATCTCATCATTGTGGTAGTATAGACATTTTCCCTTCTTTTCCATTATCTTCATTGCCATCAATTTCTCTATTGGCTTTGAGTTTCTAGCAGTCCAATTTTGGTGTTTTGGTATGCCTTGTTTGGTTTTGGGGGCTTTCTTGACATTAGTATGGTAGGAACGGGTCTTGAAGCAGAATAACCATTCGATAATGATCTAATGTTGGGTTTCTTAGTCATTTATTCTATCTTCAATTTAACATCGCTAACTCAATGGCCTGATCCAATGTATTTGGTCAGTGAATTTAAACTTTCTTGTGAATATTTATTTGTAATCCATATTCGATGTAACTCTGTAAAAATAATTCTTCAACTCCAGTTATCTGATTTGAGAGTTGTTCAAATTGTTGTTGCTCGAAGTCTGTTGGATTAGCTATGCCAGCTCCCCTCCTTGGTCTTAGTACTTTGATGGCCCAAATTGGCTGCGCGAAGTGCTAAGAGACCTTTTCCATGTTGTCAGTTGCTGTATTTTAGTGAGCTAGTGGCACTCCTCTTGCCGGTTGTTCATGTGAAAGGAGGCCAGTGTCATGTTATATTCATTAGTGTTGTGGTGAAATTCATGGAATTGTTTGATTTTGTATGACCATGTTTTTGGATTGCCTTCTACATATAGCTAAATCTAGAGTTGCATGACTTTGAATGGGTTTCCTCTTCAGTGATCTTCAATTATTGGTTGTCATTTCATTGCTAGCCACATTTACCCTGGCATTTTGATCATATTTTGTTCTAGGAGTGTTAATCGCAGGTTGATCTTCTCAAAACATTATGTCATTCTATATTTGTCATCATTGCATTCATATCTTTCACTATCAAGTAATATGCTATGTCACCAGAGCACCTGGGATGTTAATTAGAGCACCAATTGATAAATAGGGCTTAGAAAATCAAGGAAAACAAAAAAAGACTGAACATAACACAATTTGAAAATGGCCACAACATCGAAAAGTTGAAGAAGATGATCAGGAAAATGATGATTTAACTTTTTGCATGCTCCCTCACATTATATATATTTTTCAGTCTCCCTTTTCATCAACAATGCATGGTTATTCTCTAACAAACTAAAATAGGCCCAACTCATTTATTCTCCCTCACACAAACCACAACCCACCATTTATCTCTCACCATGTGGAAATCTGTGAGCCAAGTTGGGAACGTCAAACCTGCCCTGGCATTTCTTGTGTCACCTCCTCGGAGGATTGTCGAACCTTCCTTAGCATTTCCTGTGTTGACCCCTCGACATGTTTCCTAACTCTTTGATCAATTGATTTCTTTTTGATGGCTTGTTTTGAATGTGTTGCAGGGTTGTCTATTTGATGCTATGTTCGAATGTGTTGCAGGGTAGATTGCATGTGCTTGCCTTTGTCTTATAGGAAAATGAAGCTAAAAATTAAGTGTTGTTTACTGTCACATCGATGGTGCAGTATTAGCTTCTACTCTTAGAAGTTGTTTTTTCAGCTTGTTTAAATACTGAGTTGTTCGATTAAAAATTAAAAAAGAAAAAAAAAACATGAGTTCTTTTAATTTATTGATGATTTTTCTTTTCTCCTTAAAAATTAAATTGATCACATGGAGACTATTAAAGTTTATTTGAGTAGGATGGACTGGTGGAGAAGTTTGAATTTTCCGTTGATTATTTTGGGAATGTTAAACCCCATCAAAACTCCTAGTTGTTAAATGCCCTCGTCAAATAGCTAGGGTTCAAGACATCAAAGAAATAACTCTGTGGAGATCGTTTAGTGACTATAATGTTATATATACCTCACGGAGCTGTTTCTATGTCAATTCTTAGAAAAGTGGCTTAGTTATTATTGGAGAGTAGAGTGCTGCTTGAAGGTTTTTTCTTGTACTATTTTAGTAGACTTACTATTTGAAGTAAGAAAAAGAATAAAATGCCTTTGTCTATAAAAATATTTACGCAGATTTGGGTATACATGGGTTATTCTTTCGAAAAGTTCCCTGCCCAATTCAATTAACATTCTCCAGTCAGGGAAACCTAGTAGAACATGTGACTTTATGAAATTAATGATGGTAGAGAAGATTTCACTTGAATGGTCTTTGTTTTTCATAATTGAAATCTTTGAATGATAAATGAAGAGTAAGCCTGTTTTCTTTGATTGCGGTATTTAGGAGTAGATCTGTGGTTTGTAGTTTATTCAGGCTTCATTTGGGACGACTTTTTTACTGCTTCTTAAAGCAGCTTTTTAGTATAAAAATTTTAATTTTTATACTAAAAAGCCGTTTTAAGAAGCAATAAAAAAATCGTCCCAAATGAAACCTCAATCTTATCTGGATGTAAGTAATCCCCTAAATATTGAACATCTTGATACAAGCCTCTTAGAAATTGTAAAGGAAAGGGGATCCCATCACTAGTAAAAATAAGTATAAAGGTCATAGCAAAATACAGATTCCTGTCTTTTTTTGTGAAATAGTTTGAAGGGTTATAATGCTTAAGTTTTCCTACTATGGTTCTGTTATGGACAGTTACATATGTTTTTGGAGTTATTAACCTTACTTTGATCTCTATAGTCTTGCTTCACATTACTGCTGTATGCTTTTATGCGTCAAGTCACCTTTGATGATCCTGGTCTCATTCAGGTCAATAATTGCAATGAAATCATACAGCCAGACAGAAGTACTTGTTAAGGATTATCTACTAGCTGATGCAATTATTCCATATACTTCCGTGCTATGTGGAATTTTCATGTGTAAAGTGGTATGCAAAAAACTACTCTTTTTTCAAGTACATTACTCCATTTACAATGCATGTTGAATATGGTCCATCAAATATGCTTTGAACTGCTAGAAATTAAAAAAAAAAAGGTTAGATGGGAGTGGATGAAATGTAAATATTAACGATTGAAGTGAATAAAAGAAGCATGCATTACGTTGGTCTTTTCTGTTGCTGTTGTCCTAATTTGATGGTTTTCTCTCACTTAAGTATGGTACAAATTAAATTCACTAAATTTATACATGTGAGCGCATTCTTACAATCTAAAGTGTTTTTTAATTGTTGAAAGTTTTAGTCTTTTGATCTCGAGTGTCACCGATCAAGTTACTAAATGCTAGTGTACATCTATTTTGCTTTTTTTTTTCCTTAGATCCTTTAGGTGATGACTTGACCTTCCATTCTTGTTGAAGCTCACTGATTCTTAGAAATTTAATTGAATCCCATGGCCTCATAGCTGTTTGATGCGGCATCTGGAAGGATTTATGATTTTTAAATGCAAATTTAGGTGAAGATGCATAAGATCACGCACATAAAATCAAGATTCACTGATCACTGTCCATTAATTTAAACAAGTGTTCATTCTTTCTGATGAAAAGAATAATTTAATAATTATTCAAATAGAGGCTTCTGCAAGAAATTTGAGAAAATAACAATGAAAGAAATAACTAAAATATTAATCTCGGCCAATACCAGGAGAAGGCTTCTTCCGGAATTCATAGTCACCACTTACATCTCACTTTTTAAGAATTCGCGTATAACAAACACAAATTTGAAAGCAAACTGAAGCAATTGACTGCATTTTACATGCCTAGAGGCCACATATTTATAACCAGAGAAGTTCCCAAAATTGACATCCTCGTAAAATCCTACAATCAGCTATAGTGCTAGAATTGCAAGCCTGATTTCAGCAATTCCCTTAAATCAGCAAAGCAAAGATCCTGGGTGAATGGACTGCAAGTACGGTACAATAACAAACTTAAAGGAACCATATTTTCAGCCCAACAGATTGTCACATAAATATCAAATTCCAAAATGCAATGATAAGGTTGATCCACTAAGCGAACATACAGCTAAACCAACGACGAACTGAACCAAACCAGTGAATTGGAACTATTAAGAGAACAAAATCCTATTCTCATAGGTACATCATCTTATGTTTCAAATGAATTGAGATTGAAAACTGTAAAACAAAATAAATAAAAACACTCAAATTACCAAATTGTGAATTTTCTTGTTGTAGCACATAGAATTTGGATTTGCAACGAGTGTAAACCCTAAGTTCTCCATCAATATGTCTACATGAACAAAAAAAACTCTTTAAAAAAAAACTAAGCCAAATGACTTAAAAATTAGTCTCGAGGAATTTTGCATTTTGAAGTTGATTCGATAGATGAAAATTTGAATATCATATTTGATGGGGACATCAGATTTCGACACGTGTACCATCGCCGGAGACGCCGATCGACGGCCTTGATTCAGAGCCTTTATTTTTTATGTTTTATTTTATTCATGTCATCTATATTTCATGTTTTTCCTTTTGTACCCCTATGAGGGAATTAGTGCTTATTGTAGCCCAAGGGCATTATCGTCTTTATGCATTTTATTTCTAGATAGCCTATATAAAAGGCTTTGTCATTGTACTTGAGATTATTATTGGATGAATGAAAATTTCCGTACTTTGTTCTCTTTGTGAGTGCATGGAGTTCTCTTGGTGAGTGCTTCCAATGAGATCTCTTAGTGAGTTCTCTAATTTTCTTTTCTTTTGATTGCTCTTCTCATTTTCCTCCCCACAAGAAAGTTCTACAAAATTCCCCCCACCCCTTGCTCTTGCCGCCAAGCCCACCCTAACCCTTGCCGCCGGCCTCCCTGGGTTTCCCCACCGCCGGCCAAGCTCCCAACCGCCGGCCGGCCACCTTGCCGAGAGCCCTCCCCCACCCGACCTGCTTCCTCTCCCCACCAATTTCCAATGTGAAATTTGAGATTCAAATTTCGAATTGTTTCCTAAATTGGAAATCCAAATTAGGAAGGTTTTCATGATCAAATAAATCTCTAATGAAATTAATTTGGAGTTTTCAAAATCCTTGTCACGTCACCAAACCACATTGGAAACCCCTTTCTTCTCTCCCCAATTCCCTCTCTCCCTAGTTATGCCGCCGGCCCCCTATGGAGAATTCTCTTTAATGACCACATTAACCCCTTGATCCTATTTTGAAATTTAAATTAGGATCCATTAATTTTCCCTCCTATTGCATTGAAAACTGAAATAATTTCAGTTTAATCTCCCCTTCTCCCTTTTCTTCTACCGCTGGCCTCCCCTCTCTCTTTCCCCCATTAATTCCTCATTAAGGAATTAATTGCCCTCTCATTGGAATTCAAATTTCCCCTCCAAAACTCCCAAAACTTTAGTTCATTTATTATCTTACTTTTTATTAAATGTTATTTAGTTTTTAATGTTTCTTTTTATGGTGTCTCTTGGGTTTCCAAAAAGGGCTTTTGAAATCCCAAGATGGTTGTTTAGTCTTCCCATGTGTGGCTCCTTGAATTTCACCATGGTTTTATGTGCTTTTTCCCCTTGGAATCTGGCCGGCTGCTGGTTTCCCGTGCCCGTGCTCCCTTCCGTGGTCGTGCCTCCTTGGTTCCCGTGCGGCCTCCTTGGCTCCCGCGGCTACCTCTTCGGTTCCATGGCTTGGGATGTTTTTTCGTGCAATGCATTAATAGGTTTAATGCTTGTGATGTTTAGGTTCTTGTGTTAATTAATGTAATGTGTCTTTTCATATTCCCTTTCATACCTATAAATATGGGGGAATTGTAATGTTTGTGATATAGTTATGTGATATGTGATTTTTGAAAAAAATCTGTTAACCTGCGGGTTGCTTGGAAATCCTGCGGGCTCTTTCCACCCTTCTTTCTCATCCCCTCCGGAAATCCTGCGGGCTCTTTCCACCCTTCTTCTCGGGCTTCTAATCTCTTCGTCTCTCCGCAAGCGCCGCTCCACTGTATCTTTCTTCTCCAAGTGCAGCAACTTTAGGGTGTCGTCTTTTAATTTTAAGTTTGCAAGTCGTCGTCGTTGTAATTTCATCTTTTTAGTTTTATTTGAATGGTAAGAGTTTGTTCTTTCCTCTTCTAGTCTTTGCTTTGTCATGTGTCGTTTAGTTTTATTTTTGTTAAGCAAAAAATATAGGGTCCCCTATATTTTTTTGCTTACATCAGCGTGTTTTCTTTGATTGCTGTATTTAGGATTAGATCTGTGGTTTGTAGTTTATTCAGGCTTCATTTGGGATGGCTTTTTTATTGTTTCTTATAGCAACTTTCTAGTATAAAAATTTTAATTTTTGTACTAAAAAGCTATTTTAAGAAGCAATAAAAAAACTGTCCCAAACGAAACTCAATCTTATTTGGATGTAAGTAATCCCCTAAATATTGAACATCGTGATACACGCCTCTTAGAAAATTCTAAATGAAAAGGGACCCCATCACTAGTAAATATAAGTATAGAGGTCATAACAAAATACAGATTGCTGTCATTTTTTTATGAAATAGTTTGAAGGGTAATGCTTAGTTTTCCTACTATGGTTCTGTTATGGACAGTTACATATGTTTTTGGAGTTATTAACGTTACTTTGATCTCTATAGTCTAGCTTCACATTACTACTGTATGCTTTTTATGTGTCAAGTCACCTTTGATTATCCTGGTCTCATTCAGGTCAATAATTGCAATGAAATCATACAGCCAGACAGAAGTACTTGTTAAGGATTACCTACTAGCTGATGCAATTATTCCATATACTTCTGTGCTATGTGGAATTTTCATGTGTAAAGTGGTATGCACAAAACTACTCTTTTTTCAAGTACATTACTCCATTTACGATGCATGTTGAATATGGTCCTTCAAATATGCTTAGAACTATCTAGAATAAAAAAAAAGGTTAGATGGGAGTGGATTAAATGTAAATATTAACGATTGAAGTGAATAACAGGGGCATGCATGACTTTGGTCTTTTCTGTTGCTGTTGTCCTAATTTGATAGTTTTCTCTCACTAAAGTATGGTACAAATTAAATTCAGTAAATTTATACATGTGAGCGCATTCTTACAATCTAAAAAGTGTTTATTAATTGTTGAAAGTTTTAGTCTTTTGATCTAAAGTGTCACCGATCAAGTTACTAAATGCTAGTGTACGTACATCTTTTTTGTTTTTTTTTTCCCTTAGATCCACAAGTTGATGACTTGACCTTCCATTCTTGTTGAAGCTCACTGATTCTTAGAAATTTAATTGAAATCCCATGGCCTCATAGCTGTTTGATGCGGCATCTGGAAGGATTTATGATTTTTAAATGCAAATTTTGGTGAAGATACATAAGATCACGCACATAAAATCAAGATTGACTGATCACTGTCCATTAATTTAAACAAGTATTCATTCTTTCTGATGAAAATAATAATTTAATATTATTCAAATAGAAACTTTTGCAGGAAATTTGAGAAAATAACAATGAAAGAAATAACTTAAATATTAATCTAGGCCAATACCAGGAGAATGCTTCTTCCGGAATTCATAGTCACCACTTGCATCTCATTTCTTAAGAATTCACGTATAACAAACACAAATTTGAAAGCAAACTGAAGCAATTGACTGCATTTTACATGCCTAGAGGCCACATATTTATAACCAGAGAAGTTCCCAAAATTGACATCCTCGAAAAATCCTACAATCAGCTATAGTGCTAGAATTGCAAGCTTGATTTCAGCAATTCCCATAAATCAGCAAAGCAAAGATCCTGGGTGAATGGACTGCATTTACAGTACAATAACAAACTCAAAGGAACCATATTTTCATCCCAACAGATTGTCACATAAATATCAAATTCCAAAATGCAATGATAAGATTGATCTACTAAGCGAACATACAGCTAAACCAACGACGAACTGAACCAAACCAGTGAATTGAAACTATTAAGAGAACAACATCCTATTCTCATAGGTACATAGGTACATCATCTTATGTTTCAAATGAATTGAGATTGAAAACTGTAAAACAAAATAAAGAAAGTAAAACACTCAAATTACCAAATTGTGAATTTTCTTGTTGTAGCACATAGAATTTGGATTTGCAACAAGTGTAAACACTAAGTTCTCCATCAATATGTCTACATGAACAAAAAAATTAAGCCAAATGACTTAAAAATTAGTCTCGAGGAATTATGCATTTTGAAGTTGATTAGATAGATGAAAATTTGAATATCATATTTTTGTAAGGCAATCTTCGTTAATGATTATTTTTAAAAGTTGTCATAATTTCAAATTCTTCCTTAGGCTTTTTTTTATGAATTTATATTTTAATAAGGAAAAAAATCATTCAGAATGCAAAGATTGTAAAGTTATTTCAAGTGAAAGTTTATGTATCTAACATCGCTTATTAGTTTTGGAATTTAAGATAAATAGGCAAAAAATAAAAATTAAAGTAAATTGTTGTTCTAGGATTTGATTGGGGCATTTAAAGAATATTAACAAAAATATTTTTTAGAGGAAGATTCTAGATCTTAAGACTTTGTCTGTGCATGAGGAAGTTAATGCTATGTGCAAAAAAGTAATTAGTGATATTAATAATATTGCAAAAGATGTGCTTGGAGTATCAAAGAGAAACTACTAATAGTAAAAATAGTTAGTGGTGGAATCAAAATATACAAGAAAAGATAAAAAAAAAAAATTGCTATAAAAATTAATTTAGTTGTAAAAATTCTGATAATTGAAAAATATACAAAGAGGTCCGTAAGGAGTCTAAGAAAGCAATATGAAATGCAAAGATTTTAGCTTTTAATGATTTATATAATAGATTAGATACTGAGGAGGGAGAAAGATATATGTATAGGTTAGCTAAACAAAGAGATAGGGATAGTAAGGATTTAGTTCAAGTGAAGTGTATTAAGAATGAAGATAAAAAAGTATTTTTATTAGAAGAAGATATTCAACAAAGATGGCTGAGATATTTTGCTAAACTTTTTAATGAAGATTATGAGAATGCAATTGACTATAGTGATCTTAGAACCCTAAATAAAAATAAAGATTTTTGTTTTTATCGATGTATTAGTAAAACCGAAGTTAAAGAGGCTTTAAAAAAAATGAAGTGTGGAAAATCTGTTGGACTTGATGATATTCCAATAGAGGTGTGGAAATGCTTAGTAGATGAAAGAATTCTTGGCTTACTAAACTTTTTAATATTATTTTGAAGACTAAAAGGATGTCAGATGAGTAGAAAATGAGTGTATTAATTCTTATTTTTAAGAATAAAGGTGATGCACAAGATTGTGCATTTTATAGAGGAATTAAGTTAATGTGTCATAGTTTAAAACTATGGGAGAGAGTTATGGAGAATAGGCTACGACATGACACTGATGTTTCTCAAATTCAATTTGGATTCATGCTAGGTAGGTCTACTATGGAAGCTATACATTTATTGAGAGGTTTGATGGCGAAGTATTGATGCAGGACATATATGAAAATAAGATTTAAATAAGGAGTTTGCACGCTTAATGATTAAGAATAACTTAATTAGAACTTGAGGTTGATTCAAACAATGACTTAAAACACAAAGAGCGGTAAACACTAGTTTAGGCCAAGCTACTTGCGTAAAGTAAAAGCCACAAAACAATTAATTATTCGTAATGTTGCATACGTGATAGGTTTCAACGAGAAATCCCTATTTAACAATAAGAGTAGTACTATGAAAGATCGTTCACGCAATTCCTAATAAATACTAGGCTTTAGTAGGAAGAGTTAACACAACTTTCCATGATTCAATTAGAACTACAATTGAGAGTGATTAAAAGATAAAAGAGTAGGAGAAAAGATCACCCAAATAAACAAGACGAACCATCGCTCCGGTGTGGTGTTTATGTGTTTGAGAAGTAGTAGACAGCACTTCCCAACTCCTAGCCGCCTTGGGACTTTAATTTGATGATCTCAGGATGGTTGACAGCAAGCTAATCTCGGCTGGCATGTTTGGGCAGCAACCTAAACCTTCTGGGCAGCACACGGTGATTTCTGAGTAGCAAGACAGCTTCCTTACGCTGTCCAAAAACTCTAGACAGCAATGCTACAGCAGTTTTGGCTCTTGGGAAAAACTGGACATCAACTTCTAATGCTTGGGACGTTCTGGACAGCAGCTACCATGGATTCCAACCTTAGGATTGTGGGTGGGATCAATCCAGAAATCTGGCCAGCATGCAGGAGGCGGAATTTCCAGGGATTTCTCCCTAATGAGCGCCTGAGATATTGGAGGATGGAGTGGAGAATCTCGTGGACAACTGTGGGGAGCCTCAGGAGTTGATTTCCAATGCTTAGGTGGCAAATTGAATCAAAATCAAATTAAGGGGAGAGGAGAACTAGGGGGCAGCGGGTAAGAGAGAAGTTGGGAAACCGGGATTTAATTCCAGAAATAAAAGAAATAGGATTTGGAAAGGAGTTAACGGTAGCCTTGAGATTTCGGCCAAGAAAAAAAAA